GACAACAAAATAAAATAATTTTTAAGTAAATTTAATTTTTTTTAAAGTGTATACATTTAAAAAAAAATAACATACAGGTTATTTATTATGATACCATAAACATACTACGTTATGAATAGGTATCTACTTACTTAAAATAATAATAAATATAAACTTTGTAAACTATTAAATAGATTTTATTTTACATACCATGTTCTATTGCCACAAACTGTTTTAATACCATACTCAAACCAAGTTGGTTCTGGATCTAGGGTATCATAAATATCAGTAGGTTACTGGTTACTCGACCAAGTGGCCATTTACAAAACCTTACACAACTATTTTTTAGATTATTTGTGTCATTTTAAACTAGTCACTTTGTTGGTACTGCGCTGTAATCATTCGAATCCACAAATATCACAATAACCCAACTAACTTTAATCTAAAATGGAAAGACATACATTTATTTTTTAGTTGAGTATTGGCTACCTATGTTATTATAATATACTAGAAATATAATAGAAATAATTTGATAAAAAATTAAAGGCACCAATTAGGCTCCTAAAATCTACTGCTGTAGACAAAAATACAAACAGTCCTATACTTGTAATGTGTATTTTTTATACTTGTAAAAAACTTAATTTTTCAATAAATATGAGTAAATGAACAAAAACAATTTTTTTAGGACTTAGGTAGCTACTTTTCTTAGTATTGTAATTTTTTAACAGTGTTATGAATTAATTGGATATATTATATTTACATAGGATACATCCACACCAGAGGTACCTAACTAGGAATCAAACATTATAAAAAATAGCTATAAATTATGGTAAACAATTGAGATAGAAAAAATTACATATATTTTCTGGTTAATAAATTGCATTATTTAAATTTAATAAAGGATAAATAAATTAAAAATGTAATGTTATAAAAATAAATCATAGGTTTAAAATGTCACATATCGGGTATCGATTTGTAGCCATGTAGGTACATAATATTATGGAGGTAGAAATGTCGGACGACAGCGCTACAAGAGCATGGCCCGAAGGTGCACATTTTAACTTTAATAATAGTTATAATATTATGATATACTATGTAGATCCGGTCACTGTCCAGCACCAACTGGATACATCAATAGTTTTTAATGAGCTGAAATATGCAGGCCCGACAAAAATCAAGTTGGAAAGTCGTGATTTCACCGCAGGCATTGTAGTGCATACGACTTCAGCTGGTGATACACCCGTCATCGCGGATTTAAACTAAAACGAACCCGCAGTGGCGCCGTTGCACACGGCCAAGATGTCATTATCAACTACATCTATATAATATTAATATATTCACATGTCATGTCCCGTCTTCTGCCTTGACCAAGTGTCAGCCATGTCGCTATGTCGCGACAGCCGTTTTTTTTATAGCATCACGTATTATTTTATTAATTACACTGACGGTTTATGGCCGTTTTTGTTACATGTCCGCTTCAGCCGTAAGTGTCATCTTAATTTCAATGTGCATTCGTATTTTGTTGTGGCACATTCCGCCTTTAGCGTCACTGCAGTGCTCTCGTCGAATTTATACATTTTATCAGCTTGTATGTGGTATGTTATGTTTGTTTGCGTTCCGTATCGCTGAGTTCTTGCACACCGTTGTTGTGCAATGACAAGTAATCCGTCCTTTTCCGTCCACGTATCCCGTATACCATGGTTTAGTGGCATACTACTGTCGTGTTGCGTTTTCGTCCTTTGTCGAATTGGCCACGGTGTAACAGGAATACAGGATAGTCATGGTATCGGCCCACTGAGTTTCATTAAATTATATATTTCTATACTTATGTTTGTAGTTTTGTACTCATTTCTTATTATTATAAAAAAAAAAAGGTTGCCACATAACACTCATAACTGGCCCATATTTTGAGTGGCCCACCGAGATTTCCTCGGCAGCTTGCCGATCCGACCATTGCCTGAATCGTTGGATGTCATACAAAATACAATATATTCTTCTGATGTATCCCGGGCGTTTTGTTTCATTCGAGGGTGTCAGCCTAATATCTGCCCGCGGATCACGATACATGTTGTTACATACAACATATTACATTTAATTATTTAAATATTGGTTAGTGGTTACATAAACGATAAGCAAATTATCATACTACTACGAGATATTCCTTGCTTCTGCGACGAACCGCGAGTTTTTTTAACCATATTTTTGAAGGCCACACTACACCCTCTTTGCCGACCGCGATTGGATAACCGTGTTATTATATATTTATAATATTAAAATAGTGATCCGTCCATAGTTAGATTATAATATAATATCGCACATGCATAGGAACTAGGAAGTGCAATCGTGCATTATTTACGCTTGATCCTATTCTGTGTATGACAACGTGCCTTAGGTAAAAGCGGATCCAAGTTCCTCACTGGCATAGCCGTAACTTGGACTCTATTCACGTGGGGCAAAAATAATTTTTGACAATCTCTAGTCCCTACACATTTTCATAATCTTTTTTTTTAAATTTAATATTTATTATATAACTGTTTTTTCATTTTTACCACCATTTTTCATTTAACTAATTTTAAGCAAACATTTTTTTATATACCTATACTATATAAGTTTCATACCAAACAATTTAACAATTTAAATGTAACAAATTACTACTTTCTTTTTAAACCATTTTAATTCATAATTATATAAAAAATTAAAAAGAAACTTTATAGAAAACAACTTGTTTTAATTTTTATATTTTTTTTGTGTGTGTTATCACGGTTTCGGGCAGTAAAAGTCCTACTTGGGCAGGTACTACATATTCTATAATTAGTATTTAAATATGCCGAAGTACCTTCACTGGATGGTTTCTTCCCCCAAGACATCAAGCCATCACACATAATTTATAAGAAACCATACATTATGCCTATTGTACTTATTTGTATAGATTGTATAATTTTCTAGTTTACAAATAAAAAAAAAAAAAAAAATATTTAAATAAAATGTAAAAGTGTATGTGTTTTAAATTTATAAGCACTCATTATTTTTTGTTATTGTACAATATTATTATATTATATTATATTATATTCATATAAATATAATATAATATATTACATTATATTATGTATGTATAATGTATATGTTACGGTCAAAGTGTCTAATTGGGCGTTGTAGTACGATGCTCGGACAATGTAGACAATTATACACTTTGCCCAAGCATTGCACAGAATGACCAGAGAACAGTGGGCAATTACAATGGTATAAAACAATTTTTGTTATCTTAATAATTTTAAATAATTTATTTTATGAATATTAACTATTTTTTTAATTTTCTTTTTGCAACTTAAGCTATCATGACATTTATAAGTACATAGTTTAAGTGCACCCCTACACTTTCATTTATTTGTCTTGTATATTGCTGTTTACAGTTACACCGGTCATATCCTTGACCGCCAAGATTTGAAAATTGTCTAAAGGCATACTGAACATTTGTGTGTTAATGATTTAAGTAAGACATATTTTGTTATAATATATACATAGTATTTACAAATTGTATTAGAAATAGTACATGGTATCGACTCCATTCGAAAAGAAGCCGGGCACCTTCTTCCTGTCTGCTATATAACACGGATGGGTACTGGGCAGGTTAGCAGTATCCATCCGGTCCAACAACCTATGATTAGCAGCCAAGTCAGCATAAAAATCTTCAGTATCAATATTATACACTAGTAATTCTATAAAAATAATTATATTAAATTAATATAATATATATGAGAACATTTTTAATATATTTACCTGTATCAGTATCAGTGTTGTAAAGTAATTGAGTAAAAGTATTCAAATACTTTTTTTCCGAATTGAATACTTTTTAAAATACTTTTATTTTTGAAGTATTTGAACGGTATTTTAAATACATTTTTTTACTATTGAATATTATTTTATTGAATACTTTTTTTTTATTCCTTTAATTCTTTATTCTTTATTCCTTGTCAAATAATAATAATGTCATTATAATAATATATCTATTTATCATTTATGAACAATTGGATATCGACTTTGGTTTTCGTCTTTAGTTTAAATAAAATTAATTAATTAAATATCTTTAGCTTAACTAAATATTTTTTACTCCGGGAAACCGTCTGTTCGTCGACGAAGATCGCAACGGTACGTTATCGTTACCTAACAACATGTATTATAGCGAAATATTATACGAACATTAGGTGTGTCGTGCCTGTACGGCCGTACGTGTGTACTGTGTACCGAGACAACATGGGCGACGGGCGTATATCGATTCCGCCGATTTTACATCGATTCCGCCGGCTACTGTTTATCCCTCCCTTGTAATTTGTAAATGTATTTTTAAAATTACAGTCCTACATAATATACTTTATAATATATATATATAATAATAATAATTGTATAATAATTAAAAACTAAAATGTATAGTCTAATTAATACGTGTATGTGAATATTTTATAAAATGTATAGTCTAAATTGTATAAAATAATAAAAATAAACCGAGTCAATATAGGTATTTTATTTTATTCCACACGTATTGCTATAAAACGTATATTACCTACGCTACATATAATTATATAAATGTCATATAACTATTCTGACTGAATTTTATCTTTAGATATGATATATCTTAATATCTATAATATCTATATTAATATATTTTATATTGTTAAAATGTAGACTTACCAATCTTTCCGTGTTACTTCTCGGCTAGTTACTATTTTACTAATCAGAATCAATCTAGTTAACGAAATTGCTCCATCACGTTCATAGTGTCGCACACTCGTATTATTATATTTATTAAAGAGTATTACCTTAGATTACCCTATATACTATAGTATATTTAATCTATGGTATTACTTACTAGTTACTAATTATAAATTACAATGAATTTTAGTATAGTTTCTAGTGAAAGAAAAAAAGACTTAATTCTATGTAATAATAAATATTATAAAAAAGAATATGTCAAATATTTAGATGCTTTTAAATGGCAGTGTATAAATAAAAAGTGTACTGCAAAAATGTATGTCAATCAAGTCACAAATCAAATATTAAAAGATGAAAGTATTCATAATGTCAACCATAGTGAAGAAACAAGTAGGAGTATTATAAAAAAATAATTTTCAAATGGACTTAAACGAAAATCGGAAGACGAATTAGAAAGGCCTTCAAAAATCATTAATAGAGGCATTTTAAATAATCCAGAAATGACGAACACTTTTACAAGTACAGATATTAATAACATTTACCAATGTTTATACCGTTCTCGTAGATCATCATACCCTAAACTCCCAACAAATCTTACGGAAGTAATAAATGTAATGAGCGAGCGCCAAGTTAAAACCGTCCAAGATGAAGACTTTATTCTTTTAGTTGATTCGGATAACAAAATTATTTGTTTTTCAACAAGCTCAAATCTAAAATTATTATGTTCAGTAGATAAAATATTTGTGGATGGTACTTTTACGTACTGTGCAAAATATTTTCTCCAGCTTTTTACCATAAACATTTTTAAGAACGGACATTATGTTCCACTTGTGTATTTTTTACTACCCGACAAATCTAAAGACACATATGCGCGATCGTTTGGTTATATTATTGAAAAATGTTCAGAAATCAATTTATCGTTCAGTCCATCGAAAATAGTTTCCGATTTTGAAGAAGCTATACATATTGGAGCAAAAACAATTTGGCCAGAAATACAAATTGTTGGATGCCGATTTCATTTGAAGCAAAATTGGTGGAAACACATTCAAAGTCTTGGTAAATATATATTTGAATACACATACAAAAATATTATAAATATGATTTTTGTATTGTTTATTATTAATATTAATTTATTTTTTTTTAGGTTTATCAAAAGAATATAAAGACGAATCAAATGAAATAGATAATTGGCTAAAATTGGTATTCGGATTACCATTATTAAATTCGGAAGAAGTAAGCGATTATTGTTTTACAACAGATTTGATGTCAATTGCGAATTGCTCCAGATGATGAAAGGGTAGGAAAGTTCTGCGATTATTTAGTTGATTATTATATTGATGAAGGAGCAAAATTCAATCCACGCATTTGGGCATCAAGGGGAATAACATCAGAACGCACTACTAATAGCTGTGAGTCTTTTCACTCAAAATTAAATTCACAATTCACAAAAGTGCATCCCAACATTTTATATTTACACATGTTTTAAATACAAAAATACAAACTGACACTTACATACACATAAATGGAATTAATATAAATACAATTAGTAAAAATAGTGCATTTAACAAAAAGAAACAAAATATTAAAAAATTATCAAACGATTTAAACAATAATACAATTTCTAAGATTACTTATTTAAAACATGTGTCCGAATATTACCAAAAGTAGTTCCATTTATATTATATTTATTTTAATTAGATTATACATTTTAATTTTGAATTATACATTTATACAATAATTATTATCATTTTATACAATTCAAACTATACATTTTAATATTTTATCATTTATTCACATACTTACACGAATTAATTAGAATATACATTTTATTTTTGAATTATACAATCATTATTTTTTTATTCTTATTATGTATTATGTATTTTAAAATACATATACAGGGGGGGGGATAAACAGTGTCTGGCGGAATCGATGTGTAATATTATAAACAGTAGACGGCGGAATCGATACAAACCTTTTTTCAAAACAGATAGTTTCGACGGAATCAATAATTACTTGACAACATAATATGCAGGTGCGACCTATTCTTAATTAAAAGCTATAAATATATTATAAAACATAAACATTGATATTGACTGATAACGGATTCTGCTATAAATAAATGAATATGGCTACAGCACCATAATAATATGTGGAACATACTCAACATGTTATTATCTTATTTTCATAATTGCATTAGAAAATAATATTATTATTTATTTTTGTGTGTACGGACTACGAATAACCAATTGCCAATTGGTCATTAGACATTACTCATTAGCGTACAATCAGTTATAATATTACAATATTGCATGTATAGCCCCCTACGCTGTTTACACTATTGTAATATTTATTACTTGGGTAATGGGTTTGTATTATTCGTATCGAGTTCGCTGTTGTCTGCTTGACGTTCCTCAGATTGTTAATAATTGTATTGCATCAACAGTATACTCTTGTTTTCATTGTTTAAATAGTAACACAATGAGTGATTGTGATTCTTCAACCGAAGTCGATCAGGTTGCAGATTTAGAAGAACCAATTTTACTCCGGCCAAATTATCAAAAATATTTTAAAGTATTACGAGTCATTGAGGATAATTTTTTTTACAAGAAGCTGAAAGTGAAGTGTTTAAGTTGTGTCGATACAAAGTGTTGCAAGGTGGATTCACGTTCAAACTCTAATACAAGAAAACATTCAAGCGTAAGTACAATGTTAATTTTATACCTGCCTATGACAGNATCAATCTAGTTAACGAAATTGCTCCATCACGTTCATAGTGTCGCACACTCGTATTATTATATTTATTAAAGAGTATTACCTTAGATTATCCTATATACTATAGTATATTTAATCTATGGTATTACTTACTAGTTACTAATTATAAATTACAATGAATTTTCCCTGTGTGCAAAATATAATCTCTAAGACGTTACATAGTACTCTCATTAAGTAGTGAGAAGTACAAGATTGGAGCCTAGAGATGTCTCAGAGATTCTTATGTGACGCTTAATGTCCAGACACGCGAAGTTACTGCATGCGACGTCGCAAAATAATGGTCCATGTGTGGTCACAATATAATATCCATGGGCCATCCTGGTTGTGATACATGGGACTACTTATTTTCATCGCATCGACATCACATAGAAATCGCAAAATTATTATTGTTCGCGAAAAAAAATAAATTTGATTGTCGATGCCAGCGGACTTTTTTTGTCGTAGACGGGATCGAACCCTAGACCCTATGCTCCTAACACTAACACCTAACCTATTGGGCCACCCTAACTAGATGGAATCTATAAAAAATTATGGTGTATTTAAAACCAGTTCATAGTCACTCGTGTAGTACAATGTACACACTACACGTTGTACCTAAAAATTACAATTTACCATAGAAATGCATTAGAATATTTACGTACTTTTCCGCATTAAATAAATTGATCATATAGGTACTTATAATAATATAATATACCAACCTAGACCTATAATTACTATAATTACCTACCTTTTTATACCTATAATACTAATAAATTAGTGATTAAACACAATAAGTATCTAATACAATAAAATACATTTTGATAGATAGAGAGATAATTTATTAATTATATAAATGTATAGTTACAAAATAAGATACTTAAAATTTAAAACATTTTGTGATATTTCTGTATTAAAATTTATATGAGTAGGTACTAGGTATAAATTATATTTGATAATATAGGTACCTACCTAACTATATATTATTATAAAAATAAAAATAAACAACAAATTATCTGGGTAATTGTTATAGATAATATTATATAAACATATTAATAATTTAATATTAAAAAGTATATATATTATATACAATAAAGTAGTAATAGACAATGCTTTCTATGTACCTATACAATACAAATTGAATTAATTGATCATAAAAACAAAAAATAAATATTATATTTAAATGTATGATACCTACCTATAATATAATATATTTAAAATATGCCTACCCAATAATAAGAAAATAATCACATAAATATATGTAACATACCCGTTAACATAATAAAATAATAGGTATTACTACCTATTCTAAGTTATAAGATACCTTCTACTTAGGTAAAATAGCTAATGAGACTCTGTTGGTGAGTATGATAATTTTTTTTGATTTTTAATAAAATTATATAAAATATACATTATGATGAGTGTAGTAATGCAATAGCTATATATTTACAATTATCTATTGGTGCTACAAAGCATTTATGTTTTAAACTGTTTAAATCGATTAAAATTGGTTGAACTTTCGGAATAATTTCTTTGATATAAAATATTTTAGTAATATCTGAGGTAAATGGATAGTCAAACATGGGTGAATAATTAAATTTAGTTGCTTCAATTTTAATTTTACCATCAAAATATTTTATTATTTTGGTAATTTCAACTATATCATTATTTTGCAACATAAAATATTTATCTTTAACATTTTTTGAACTCACCACAAATTTTTCTAATGCAACTTCTTCATACATAGTTTCAGTTAAATTAGTATTACACTTCGACTCTCGTTTCAATATTGGATATATTATTGGAGATATAGTTTTATTAATTTGAACGTCAATTTTTTCCATGATGCGGTTATATGCATCTTGGAGAGGAAATCTATCATTTTTACAACTTTTTTTTAAAAATTGTAAATAGTTTTCATACTTGAATGCACTAAATAAATCTAAATTGCCATGTATTAAAACAAAATCAGCTAGATGTATCAGGCTATGAACATTATATCCAACATATCCTTCCCCATAATTAGAACCATATTCATGTACAAATCTGTATAACATGTTTTTAGCCAAGTTATTATGGGTACTACAATTTTCTGAAGAAATAAGAAGTCTTATGGCATAGTTTAAAAGCATAAAATGTTTAAATAGAGGTTTCTTCAATCTCCCTTTTAATACAATAGGACCCGTATAAAGAAGGAAAGTACGAAATTCCGTTGCCTTCCAGTGTTCACATTCTTCAAGTGATCTGGGCAAGCGATTAAATTCTGATGGTAAATAACATTTAAGATTAATCAATTCTTCTGAAACAGCATTTGGATCTACCAAACGAACAGGTTTTTTACCTTTTACCCAGAATACAATTAGTTTTTTCATAACCCCTAAACAAATATTATGCATATATTCAAGTACCACTGTGGAAGTTATATCAATTGGAAATTCCTCTAAGGGGCTGGAGTCTTTGTGATAAAATGAATCCTGTTTGTCTCGAAAAGATTGATTTGATCTTAAAGGGGCATTTAAATCTAGATAGGCCATCCTTTTATTATCAATATATGTTCCTTCAACAATACAGGAATTACACCCATGATAGGCATTGTGACCTTTCACATTTAAAATGAATGACTTCGCGGGTGCATCACACACTACCTGACTAATTTCAAATTTCATTAATTTATCTTTTATACATATTCCATTAGTTAAAATTATTTTCATTTCAGAAGTAAAATATTGTAGAAATTCATGACTAGACGATGGTTTTTTAAACTTGCCATGATAAATACCCACTGGTATTACAATATTGAATAACTGAGGTATATTTACAAAGCTTAGAAGAATGGGCCAAAAACTTGATTTTGAACTTGATGTAAGAGGAAAGCCATCAATATTAAATCCAAGTTTTATTGTAGTATTATTTTCAATAATATCAATATTTACAGTTAAGATTTTAGTTAACATAAATTCTACCCCAAGATGTATGTATGATCCAGGGTGAATATTTATTATGCTATGTTCACGAGCTTTAGGTGTTTTTAATAATGTCCTGGCATCTTTAGGTAATTTCAATCCTTCTGATCTCAAAATTAACAAAAGTGAATTAACACAGTTATGAGAAACATGATAATCACTTATCCACTGCTGCAATTTTTGTTTTAAAGGGATTTCATCAACAGAATCATTATCATTTATGTTACTAATAATATTGTTAGAATAACTAGCTTTAGAATTAACTACATTTGAAAAGTTATCAGATAAAACAGGTGATGCTAAATTAAGTGCAATTGGTATTTGTAAACCCATGCTTGAAATATTATCTAAATTGTCTGTTATTGGGTTCATTTCAGGTTCTTGTGATCTGACATAAGTGTTTGTAGTTTGATTAACGCATGACAGTTGATTTGATATATCATTTTGAATGTAGCGTGCAAAATGCCTTCTTGTCATAGAATGAATGGCTTTCCTTTTTCGGAACTAAAATTTAATTATTAATCAGAATAAAATTAATAGAGATTACAAAAATATACATTAGAATAAAATAATTTACTAAATATATATATTTATTAGATTATATTATTCTAATAAATATCTATAGATTTAAAAATAAAAACCTTATTAACAGCTATAAATTGTAATAATTACATTTTTTCACTATTTATTATTTTTAAACCTATTTATTTAATATAAAAACAGGCTGTTAAGGAACTTTGCTTCTAAAACAATGTCACCATTCTTGTCTTGTATAAGCTAGGTTCACTTCTCCATTCTAATCTGGTTTCAACACCATCACATATCTTTTTAAACTGTATGCAAATACCTTTGCATTGGTCGTTACATGGTTTGTATTATTATGTATATATAAATATAATATATATTCAACTAGATTAAGAATTTGAAGCATATATTGCTTTAAGAATGGATGGGTTGATAGTTAAAAATAGGTAAAGTTCAAACGTTTTGACTTTTTTAACTTTTTTGACTATTATTACTTTAAATATAACATAATTATTTATTAACAATTTAACATATTACCTATAGGTACTAATGATGTTTGAAAATCTCACAAAAATATAATTTATAATATAATAATTACTTCTTCTTTATTTTAATAATCATTAAACATGTAAAAAAAAAATAATATAAATGTATAAGTAAAAAGGGTGTTCTCTCTAAATATTTTTAATTTTTTAAAACTTTTTGTTATTATTTTTTAAAATATTAATAAAATAATATATAGGTACATTTTTGAGCAATACTATATAAAAGTTAGATCATTTATAATCTATTAAAGTTTAAACTAAAATAACTTCTTCTTAATAATAATAACAATTAAAAAAATGAATGTAAATAAACCATTAAAAAAAAAATTTTAAAAATACCTATTGGTAATGTAATAAATATTAAATACTGAATGACAAAATTAATGTACTGAATGTAAAATGTAATGCTTAGGAAGATTCTTTTAGTTGTTCTCTTGCATATCTTTGAGAGCCGTGACGGAACCAATCTTTAATGTGTGCTTCAAAATTAGCTTCAGTTTCAGAAAAAGTACTATTGGCAACATCTAAAAATTATACAACATATAGTGAGTTTCATTAGCATTAACATGAAAAATATCATTATTTATATAATATAAGTAACCTTTCATGATTTTTATAATTTTTAAAGTTCTAAGCTCGTGATTATCTTTAAACCCAGTCCATGAATATTTTGTGGATAATTCATTTGTAAATATTCTTTCTAAAACTCTTTTAACAAAGTTTTTCAGACCTGTGCCGCCAATTTTTTGCAGTAGATTTCTCTGTAAAAATAACAATAAAAGTAAATAATTATCTTAATAACTTAAATATTATAATAAAAACATTAATTATAATAATATCATAAATACCAGTTGACCAGAAGTGTTTTCATCAGATTTTAATTTATTTTCCATGTCGTCCACAGCTTCTACACATTTTAATGGAAAGATTTTCTCAAAATCTTTGTTAAAATTTTCACTTATCTGTGTATTATTATTTTTTTGAGTTAATAAATCTATTTTACTGTCCAGTCTTTTTACGTATGCCAATATAGAAATTACATTTTTAAATAAATTGTTAATCGTATTGTCATCACTCTTGTTAATTAAATCTTCTTGATTTTCTGTTGATACACCTAAATTATAAATTATTTTATTAATTAAGCAAGTATTTTGGTAAAATTCAAACAACTGCATGTTATAAATAACACATACTTGACATGGAATGATCTGTACTCTGAATGTTTAATTCAAACATTGTTGTTTCTTTCTCTGCAGTATAATCAGTGTTGATACATTCGTCAGTGCCATACAAAGTGTTCATAGATGCTAAACATATTTATTAATTTTTACTACCATCGGTAAATTATATATCAATTTAATACATACAAGAAATAATGTTGTTGGGTAATAACTGATCAGAAATCTGATTCATCTGCAGTTCAACATAGGCAGAAGATCCACTTTGTTGGTTGTCTACAACTACCTGGTTTGTTTTCATAACTTTTATGGGAGTTGTGTGTGTACTGCTACAGGCTGTAAAGCAAAAGTAGTATTTAAAAAATAAGTACTAAGTAGGCATAAACAGTTAAGTCTATCATCATTTTAAATGAGATGTTTATGTATATTTAATAATTAATTTTACCCTTGGAATAATATAAAAGTAAATATATTTTAAGAAAAGTAAAATATCAAAATATAATATTAATTCAAAGTTTTTATATTTTAATATATTAACTATTAAGTATAACTAGAGAATGTTAATTAAATTAACTTATGCATAATTTACCATTAGTGGAAAATTAAAATTATAAGACTTACCACTGTCACTTTCACTTTCAATTATTGCTGGATAAACCTTTTTGTTTTTTCTTTTTTTTTTCACTGGACTTTCGGATTCAGATGCAGACAAGAATAGTTCCTTTTCTTTCATCTTAGCATCCTCAAACGTGTCTACAATTTACAAAATTAAAAATTGTTGGTCAAAGGAGTAGGTATATTAAATATAATGAAATTAGTAAACATTATTTTAACACCATATTGACATACTTAGCCACCTAGGTAGCACATATTATTATAAATATTTAATGTTTTTCATTAAAATCTTAAATTTTGAAAATTAATTTGACATGTAGGTATTAAAACTTTTTAACCAGTAGGTAAATTTATAAATTATGTCATATGTATAGGTAGGTAGGTAAGTATTAAAGTAAAAAATAATAAAATTTATTTTTGATTAGTGAGTAAATTAATACTGTTTAGAAGTTACAACAAAAAGATCTATTATAAGTATTCAATGGTTAATTAGATACTTACTGAAAATTTGTGAAACTATTTTTACTGGAAAAGTTGGCCAATCTAACTCTGGATAAGTTGCTTCCATAATCATTGAGTTCACTACACCATATATTGGCCATTTAGATAAATTAACATTGCCGCAGTTTAAAATCCAAGTAAATGGTATCACAGAGTATTTGTTTTCCTTTGTAAAATAGCCTACAACCCACTGCAAAACGGTAAAATATGCATTCAAATTATAGATGCATAATCATAAAGGTTAGGTAGGTACTTTAATTAATAAACTTGGTGCATGGCTGCAATTTTACATTTTACATTTATCTATACAGACTATACCTTGGTAATTAATTTTTCCGGTTAAATTAATACCAATCTAATTTGAATTTAATAAAACATTGAAAAATAACATTTATTTTGTTATATTTAAGTAACTAAATTCAAATTTGATTGGTTTATTTTGATCCAAGAAAAAAAACCAAAAAAAAAAGTATTCAAGGGTCGCGGGTTATACCACCCTGACTTAGGTCCTAAATAATATGTTTTTTTACAAATAAATAGCTTTACAAATACTACTATAGGTAGGGTTACCATACGTCCGGATTTCGTCCGGACAGTCCGGATTTCAAACACCTGTCCGGATTGGCGTCCGGATTTGAAAAATGTCCGGATTTTATAAAGGTAACCATTTAACGTGGTTATATTGATACAAAAAGTTATGTTTGGTGACAGATTTCCGGGTTCACTCTGTATAAATTAATAATACCTAATTT